GGCGATGCTGAAGGGACGATGATGCTGAGGTGATGGTGGCACTGAGGGGACAGTGGGGCTGAGGGGGCTGGGGGAGCTGGGGGGAGATGGTGAGAGCTGAGGGGATAAGGGAGTGGCAAAGGCTGAGGCAGGTGGCAGTGCTAAGGGGACTGTGACTTTGAGATGATAATAGGGTCTGAGGCGAGTGGAGGGGTCTGAAGGGACTGGGGGAGCTGAGGGGACTCGGGGGCTCTGGGTTTGCCAAGGGCATGGTGGGGCTGAGGGGTTAGGGGGGGACCAGCGGGCAGCACGGTGGGGTCCAGGCCTGTAGCTCTGCTGGACCACAGCACCAATTCCAGACTCTCCACTTTTGCCAGGACTGCCCTGAATTCCTTGTGAGCAGCAAGAGACTGATGAGGGCCAAGAGAGAGAAGCTGACGACCACCAGCCACATCTTGAACAGGGACCTGCTGCTGCTGCCTGAGACCCTTGGTGAGGCCACTGGGGCCGGTGAGACGGGATGGGTGTGAGGGTAGTTTGGGGTTGGAAATGGGTACTGCTCCAAGTCAGGAGGGCTCCCTGCCCTTGCTGGGGGTGGCTCAGCTCAGCTCAGCTCACCCAGGGCTGGACAGGCTTGTCCTTGGGGAAGGCAGATCTGCTGGCACAGCCTGGAAGCTGTTCTCATGTGTTCTGCTCTGCCCGTGGGCTACAGCAGGACAGTCTTGGCTGGGCTGCACTGGGAACACCCTCGCCCCTTGCTGGGGAGCTGGCCCAGCCCTGCCCAGGATGTCCCTGCTCCCTGCCCAGCTCTGGGGAGGCTTAAGGAGTTCTCTGGGAGTCCGTGGGACATGATGAGTTGGTCCTGTGCAGGGACAGCTGGCGGGAACATCCTGTGAGTTTTGTGCAGAGAGGAGGAAGACCTGGCAGGAAGGTTTCTGTCAGTTGTCTCCTGTCAAAGCTAGACAGTTTTCCAAGAGGATTGGATGAGTAGGGGACCTAAATAAACAAGGTATTTGTTTATTATTTATCCCCAGAACGTGTGTTTTTTCTTTCTAACACTCCTTTGGAGGATCTGATATTTTGTAGTCCTTGATAGAAGTACAATTGCTGCCAAGGGAAACATACTGGAGGACCAATGTTGACTCAATATCCCCTTTGCTTCCCAGATGTCCATCTGTACCTCTCCAGGAGGGCTGCTCTGCATGGGAGGGAGAGAACGAGGAAGAGCTGGTGAAGATGGGGCGGCTGGGGTCCCTCTGTATATACTTATATACAGACATGTGTATAGTTATAGTTATACCTAGGTAGTTATAGGTATATAGATATTTACATATGTAGGTTGAATATTTGTATAGGTATATTTATGTATTTGTCTATTTATATATGTACCTAGTTGTATTTATGTATGTGTCTAGTTGTATTTATATATGTATGTTATATTTCTATCTGTATTTAGTTATAATTACATGTGTATGCAGTTGTATAGCTATATAATTATATTGATCTAGTTATAGGTATATGGATTTTTAGATGCATATAGTGACATATGTATCTAGTTATATTTATGTATGTATATTGTTATGTATATTGTTATGTTTGTCATATTTACATATGTATTGAGTTGTATAGCTGTATAGTTATATTGAGGTAGTTATAGGTATATGGATATTTAGATTGGTATATTGATATTTGTATATTTATATGTAGGTTCCCTATGTATATGTATATGTATTTTATATACTATATTTAATATATACTTATATTTATATCTATATTGTTATAGTTATGTGTATGTAGTTTTGTTTCCGTAGGTACAGAGTTGTATAGTTTTATAATTATATTTATTTACTTATAGGTACGGTGTTATTTAGATAGGTATATTGATATTTTTGTATTAGTTTATAGGCTCTACAGTTGTAGTACTCTGCAATATATTAACTTTTTTAACTGCAGTTGATATTTGTATATTTTTACATAACAGTTGTAGCAGTCTAATAAATTTTTTTAAACTTAAATCTATATTTGTATATTTATATATCAGCAGCACAGGTGCAGTATTTTGCAATAAATTTAATTTTTTAAACTTAAATCGATATTTGTGTATTTATAAATCAGCACGGGAGTAGCAATTTGTAATAAATTTTATTTTTTTAACTTAAATTTATTTTTGTGTGTTTATGTATCAGCAGCACAGGTGTAGAAATGTGCAATGAATTTAATTTTTCAACTGAAATGAATATTGATTTGTGTTTTTTGAAGCAATTAGCAGAATTTTGAAGATTTTGGCAATGAGAGGAGGGGACTGGGGGAAAATATCGAGACATGGACAGCAGATCCCCCTGTTCCAGTAAAGCTGGGAAATGAAACCATAGATTTTGGATAGACCGTGGAGTCACATGTTCAGTGATAACCCACTGCAAGGGCCCGCTACCAGAATTGACTCCACTCAATGTAGAACAAACCAGGAGCAAACCCAGCAAGGGTAAATCCATACCCTGTCAGACTGGAAGTCCCTCACAGCTCAGGGAGTTCCATCTGAACTTAATCCCTGACAGAAACAAACAGGGACTCTGAGCTAGCTCTGCTCTGTTTGGCAGTGTGTTGGCAAACCAACTGGAACAGTGGTGGAGTAATGATACCAGTGTAACTGCTGCAACATGTGGATGAATGAAGATCAATTGATAGAAATGTTGAAATGTTCAAAAATCCAGAAGGACGGTGGATAACGGGGAATTAACAAGTTCTTGTAACCACTAAAATGATAGAAGCTCTTTTTTGAGAAGTTCCACAAAGGAACTCGCATGGATGGTGATGCTACAATATGTAGTATCAGAAGACATCAGTATCTTCTTGGTTTAGTGGATATATTTTCAGGACACAGGCTATGATCACCCCCTACTCACATAAGCCCCTTCTTCACACACCCTGCACAGTGAAACAAGTGTGTCTTCAAATGGAGACAAGAGAAGGCAAAGCCAATGACTGAGGACTTAGGTTATGGAACAGGAAATGATGTTTTTCTGTAGTTGGAAGGATGTACAAATGAGCCCCTGGCATAATGGAGGTGTGCTAGCTCTGCAGATTCACCTCCTTGCACCATCTCTGCACAGGTTGAAATAAAACCAAATAACTCTGTGTGTGGATCTGCTGCTTGCACAGCAGCTGAAAGAGCACAGGTTTGGGACAACATTGATAGGCTGCCAAAGAGGCTGTGTAATAGATGTCATTGAAAGTTTTTAAAAAAGCTTCTGGCTAGACTATTTCCAGTTGTTGTGGACTTCCTTGGGAACACTGTCCTGTGACTCAAAGCAGCCATCCAGCCATGATGGGCATCACAGGAGATCATATGTCCTTATACGGGCACAAGGACTGGTCACATACGTTGTTCTCATAAGCTGTAGCTGTCAGTGAGATAAATATCAGGAATACTTTATTTACAGCTGAATTTCTTTTAAAGTGAAGGTGACTTCTTGGGATCTCTTCCTGCCATAGGTTTTGTCATTTTTTTTCAAAAAAGGAGGACCTTTATCCCCTTAAAATATTAGAATTATAATTAGAATTTGTAGTACAGAAAAGCTTTCAAATCTATAATTTATTAATCTATGTCACAGATCAGTGGGAAACTGTGACCTGTTGAAAAAATTTGAGGGACTGAATATTTCATATGCGGATCAAAATATTTCTGGCAATAAGAAAAAAAAGTCCTATAAAAGACAAAGAGAATCCTTAACACATTAACAATTTCAACAGTAAATAGAGAGGGCACTAATGTCTTTATCCACAATGTGGAATACTTTAACCTTCAGCGATACCAGGACTTATTTGCTGATAATGCTGCCTTTTTTTTAAGGTCTCAAGAAAGGAGGTGATACTTACATGCTTCGTCCATGCTAGGAGCAGAAGAGAGTCACCTCTGGAGAGAAGTTCAGAAGAACATGTGCTCACATCTGAATATATGTGCTACAGCTGCATTTACAGACAAGTACATATGTACTGCAAGTGATTAAGTTTGTACAGGCTTGATGCTGGCTTGTGTTAAACTGGTGGGTCAGCAAAAACAATAGAACTATCCGTGATTTGTAGGTAAGCCAACTCTTTGGCAAAGACATGCCTCTTGTCGTTTTTGTTGAGAAACTTTTGAGATTTAGAGCTTGTTGTTGTCACTGATCCTTTTTTCCAGCCTAAGCCCTCAGGGCTGGTCAGGTTCTGCACTCTATTCCACTCAGCAGCTGAACACATTTCCTGCCATCCAGGCTCCTGCCCATGTCAAGGTCATGCACAGACTGGTTCTGCAGCCTCCAGAGAAGAGCAGGCTGAGGGAGGAAAGGCAGTAGCCGGTTGCTGGGGTCTTTAGAGCAATGAGAGCAATCCAAAATAGGACCTCTGCTGTGTTGTGAGGATAAGAGTGATAAACCCAGCAATATTGTGTGTGAGACTGGACCCACCCACGAATATGAGCGTGGAAATCTGACTCATATAAAACAGAGAAAAAATTGTCCTTTAGTATCTGCCAAAGGCCAGATGGGGCTCTGATCCACCTAGTCTAGCAAAAGATGTCCCTACCCAGGGAAGAGGTCTTGGAACTAGATGATTTTTAAAGTCCCTTTGAACCCAAACCATTCTGTGATTCTATTAATTACAAAACGATACACCTGATGACAAATCAAACACAACAGCCGTGGATGCCCCACTACATTATTGGAGGTTGCTGCAGTCACTTGTGTCACCTGGAGACAGATTTGTATTTGGAGAGACTTTCAGGATCCTACAGTATCTATAGGTAACTTTTCCTGGTTCAGTAACACAAGAGATGTCAGAACAGACTACTTGCAAGCACAGTATTGTTTAACCTGCCTGCGAACCTGATGAGAGAAGTCTATTTTTGTTATAACAGTCTCTTCCATACACTGTACGGGTAGTGGGTTATATTTGTTTTACCTTTTGCATATTGCACACAATGCTATATGCATAAATACTAGCATTAAGTCCTAATTCCCTCTTTGCACAAGGATATGTAATAATAAGAAATATTTAACAAGGAGCCATATTAGCTTCAGGCTTGATAGTGTGGGTTGCTGAAAGTGGGAGACGAATAATGGTAACGCTTAATCACTCTTTCCAGTTGCAGTTTGTCCTTTATCAACCCTGTTCCATGGAAATCACTTGTTTACAGGAGAGACTAAATGAAATTCCTGAATACAGATGAGAATTTTGCAATTCAGGCTGATTAAAAGGGGAGTTTTCTGCTATTGTGAAAAGACAATGTAAATGTGTAAATGACCTGTTTGCTGTATATTCTGAAGGAGGCTTTGCAGTTAAGAATGAAAAGGAAAAAAACAGTTCTCTTAAAAAGTACCATAAAAGAGTTCTTTGTATTACCAGAAGCAGCTACACTGACATTGACCTCCACTATTACATATGCACAATCACCCTTTGCATGGCTTAATTTGGCCATAATTTTGAGCTGCAATTCCAAAATCTCATAAAATATGCTGTGAACAATGGAGGAGAGCTGAAATACCAACATTTCTCATCAGCCTTTTGGATTGGAAGGACTGTTTTATTTATGCTCCCTTAACTGTCAGCCTCAGGTCTGCTGTGCAAACAGTTCTACACTGAACCTTATGTACTTTTCTAACACCAACATAGGTGCAAACCTATAAAATCTTCCAAGCATCACACTGATTTAGACTGATAGAACTTACACAGAAATTCCTTTACTTGCTTCTGCAAGTCCTTCTTCATTTCCAAAGCTGAAAGACATTTCCTCAGTGGAAGTGGGACTGGTACCTTGCTCTCTGGATATGGTAGTGTCCTGCCAGGCAAAGGAGCAGCAAATTTGTTCATACTGGCCATTACAGTTAAATCTTTGGTCTGAGACCAAAAGGAAAATGTTAATTTAAGAAGTAATTTTGCCTGGATTATTTTTCACATGTGGACAAACTGTGGTCTGCTGACATGAATGATACTGTCCTTGTGAGTACAAACCTCCCTGAGAGGCAAACAGTCACCACAGAGGTCAGATCTGCAGATGAAAACCCACTGCGCCATTAATTTGATGTAAAGTAAACACAAGTGACACAGCTCTTCATCCTCAGCAAGGACTTGCCATTGCAAAGACATTATTAACATGCCAGACAAAGCAGCCAACCAGCTTCTTTATCCTTCTGTGCCTCTTACTGCTGCTGTTGAGAAAGGAACAGCCCTTCAGGGTAAATATAAGAGACTTTCCAATAGGGAGAAGCTTCTTCTTTGTGTTCCAATGACAACAGAGGGTTTTGTCTTCAATCTCTGTGTCAGCAGCTGCAGAAATGCTGAGAAGTTGTGTTTGGTCATCACAAGCAGGATCTGAGCAACCCAGACTTTTACTGCTCTGAAATCCAGAGGCTTTAGGCAGTGACATGACCTTCTGCAGGAATATGGAGACAAAAGTAGAACGAGGTTTCTGCAAAATTGTAATGAACACATAATGTTATTGAACATATTGAACATATATTGAGAAGATAACATAAAGGCTCATGAAGTATGTAAAATT